AAAGTCCTTGTGATTTATGGCCGTAACGCAGGTTTATCTCCTTTTATGCACAGGTGTCCCCTATTAGGAAACCTGGGACCTGCCAGGGACTGATGTGGAAGTGGGATGACTGATCAGCACAGGGTCACAGCCTGCGGGGGGAACACAGGGGATGGGCAGGATGACAGCGGAGGGGAAACGATGAGCATGCACAACAAGCAAAGCCCACGGACATTTCCCCATAATCATGCATGATCTCCGTTGCCCCCAAAGTGCCCAGCTGTAGCTCACACGGGCTGCTCAGCTCTGGCTCCAGTGCAACAGAGAGTGAGCTCTCTCCTGGTGGCCAGGCCCTGCCTTGGATCTTGTGTTAATCTGTCTGAATCCATCAAAGCAATAACAGCATAACAGGAGGGAGGGAGGGAGGGGAAGGAAGGACAGCGGCTATCAGTTACCTGCCGAAAGCTGGGAAAATCCTCCTCTGTCCCCTCCTCAGAGCAGATCTGCCACCCCAGGCAGGAAGGAGGGAGCCTCTGTGAGCTGGGAAAGCTCCCGTGGAGCTTATGTAGCCCGGCAGGACATTTGCATTTGGAAAGGAACAGATCTGATCTAATCAGCACTTGCCCCTGGCTTTGCACCCGCCCTGCTGGGTCTGCAGCAGCCTCTCCGAGGGCAGCTCTTCCAGGAACAGGAGCGAGCAGGGGACTGCAGTGCCAAGTCTTTAATTGCCGGACTCGAACACAGCCACCCCAACGTGCATGGATTTGGCAGGCCACGGCAGACACCGGTCCTAGAGGGCAGTCTTGCGAGTGGGTAGAGCAGTTCCAAGAACCCACCGCTCCCTTCACATCCCGTAGGCTGGAGTGATAATGGGCAGTCTGGTTCAGCTAGGCACGTGGAAGATGGCAGCACAGGGGCCCGGCCGGAGGCTCACAGGGCACTGTTTAGGAGTGGCACAGAGCCCAGCTGACCTCCCGTTCCTATGATGCCCGCTACCCACCTCCCACTACCCAACCGTGCACCTCCAAGAGAAGTGGGAGGGCAGCAACCCCAGTATAGGAGCAAGCCCTGGCCTGACAGGAGCGTTCCTTGCCCTGGGGATAAGGAGGAGCTTTTGAGTTTCATTTGGGAACTAAGGAAAACAGTCACAAGAGGAGATTGGGGAACTAGAAGGAAAACAGCCAGCTCTAAACCCTGCCAAGAGAAATCTCCCGTCACGGGTGAGAAGTGATAGGTAACAAAGACAGACCACGATGGCCCAGAGATTTCACAGCTACTGGGTTTTTGCACTTCTCCAAGTGACGCCAGCTGGGCCGGTCTCTGATAAATAAGCATCGGCGGGCGAATGAAGATTTGAGACGCCCCGTGCTGCTGGGAAGTCCTGCTTTTATAGATACACTTTTGGGAGTTTGGCTGGCAGCATCCCGGACGCGGGCAGGAGGTGGCTGGCAGCTGTGGCCATGCATCGGCCTGTGCTTTGCCCCAGAGAAAGATCGCTTCAGCAACGCTCGCAGAAGCAAGCCACGCTTGCCTTAGCAAACAGGGCTCTGAGGCACACTTCCGTCTTGTGATCCCGTCCAGCTGATGCTGCGGTGGGACTGCATGGAAAGCAAGATCCCTTCTCACATGAAAACAGCTCATCAAAACATGGCCCACTGGCTCTACGCTACATGTGCAACTCCCCCCCATCCCAGTGATTGAGGCAACCGGTGCCAGGACAGCTCCAGGACCCATGCCCCATCGTTGTTGCTCTGTACAAGGGTTGGGGGAAGATGCTGGCCACCCTCCACAAGTTTAAATATGGGATTGGTGGCAGACTATGAGGTCCCCCTCTGGCCTGCCCGAGCCTAGGTCCATACAGCGCGTTGCCAACCTTCAGTGGCATCATCTGGTGCTAAAGGGATGCCTAGTTACGTGTTTACTCCCTAAAGCCCAGCCAGGCTCACTGGCCAGGCAAAAGGTATTTCTCTCTTCATACGTATCTTTGTTGGATGCTGCTGTGAGTTAAAGCGTTGGGCTGGAACAACTCGGGGGCTGTTTCCGAGTCTGTCTCCTGCAGACATCTCTGCTGGTCAGCTACCGGATCACAAGGGATGGCCGAACCAAACCAGGAGTACCCCACCACTTGTCTGCCTAACAATGCGTGAGCAGCTGCAGCAAGGGCCACCTGAATGCTGCATACTGCCAGGTTTTGGATGGGCTTTGCCCCTCTCGCTAGTGTTATAACAGGCCCAGGTTCAGCGAGTTCATGCAGGGAAGGGAAGGGAAAGAAGAGAACGTGCCCAGATCCCAAACCAGGCCCTTTGTTTTCACTTTTGACTGATGTGGACAAGCTCTGCATGATCCACACAGCTCATCCTGCTTCCAGTTAACGAGGCTGGCATCACCCCCCGAGGGGAAATTCAGTTCCCTCTGTTGTGCCAAACCTGAGGGTTGCTGAAAGGACTCTCTGCCAAGCCACCGGCGACTGGATGCCAGGCAAGCTACCCCTCCAGTAACTCGCAACCCTCTTGCACTCGAAGGCACTGCATCCAGCTGGGTGCCAGGCTTGAGAGCAAAAGTGGAGGGCTTGGGACATTTCAAAGCAGAGGCAAGAGCATTTCTGAACACAGCTGGGCTCCTGATCCCTATGGCTGGGGTCCACGCCCCACTTTGGTCAACAGTGGTTCCTGTTCAGGCTCAGAAACTGCTCGCTGGATAAGGAGGAGCTGTGCCACAACCTACCCCCAGCCTCACAGGGACAGATGGTCCACAAATGGCCCCGTCATGACCCACAAAATGACACAGGGTTTCAGGGAAGGCAGCAGCTGCTGCCTTTTTATAGCCGGCTTAGGGGATGCCCTGAGCATGGGGGAAATAACACTTGGCAACATCAGGCTGCGGTTACACTAGGGACCGTGGGCTTCCTCCCTTACCACAGGGACTTCGGAAGAGGGGCAGGGGCTCATTCCAGCTCCAAACGCATTTCAGCTACGAAGCCCAGATGAAAGCCACAGACTGAGAAGTGAACATCCCTTTCCCTGACTCCAGGCCAGCGCCGGCCCGGGGCTGTACCCCAGCATCACCCCAACCTCTTATGCGGAGTCATATATGCCTCCGAGTATCTCCTCCGCTGGCCTAGAGACAACATATGAAGAAGTGAGCGAGTGACAGACAGGAAAAAGCACCCGAGGACAGATTTTTTTTTTTTCCCCTGACTTGCATCTGCCATTCAAACTAGGCAGCTAAATAGCTAAATGTGCCCATTTTGCAAAGAGAAGCAGCAAGCACACTCACTTTGCAAATTCAGCAGTAGCGCATGGCCTGCTCCACGACACAGGCAATATGCTTCCCCAAATTGAAAAATCCCCTTTCAAGGGCATCGGACAACCTCGGCGGCAGAAATGTACCTTTTCTGCACGATAGGCAATTTTTACGCAAGCCGCCATTCAGGAACCATACTGCGCTGGCACAGTTCAACTGTGTCTCCACCTCCTTCCTACTTATAATAGAGCAACCCATTCTGGATTTAGTACCGTAGACAGTCTTGCATACCAGAAAACAACCTTATTTAGTTCCTCTCAGGTTCCAACAAAACCACACACCGCTCTGCAAGTCTCTATTTTGAGGAAGGGAATACCGATAGTCTTCTCACAAACGCAGAAGCCACCGGCTGTTCCGGGCAGCAGAGTCTGGGGAAAAGCCTTGCAAAGAAAATGGCTAGATGACTTATAGGTGAAGTCCAACCACATGAAAGGTGTGGCTATCCCACTGGAATGCATGGTCCGCGGCTTTGCATGACTACTGGGAAGTGGAATTTTTTTAAAGCCAGAAAAAGGAAGAAAAAAAAAGAGCGCGCTCTTTCTTATTTGCTGGCAATAACAAGCATGGCTCGGTCTGAAATGTCTCCGTAAACAGCCCTTTAGCAGGCTGCTTTTAAACCATTTCCTAAAGTTGATTATTTAGGATCCTCCCAACAGGTCTTCCTGGCCAAAAAGATTTCATCCAAAAAAACTCCCGAGGAAGTCGGCAAACCCTGCACACTGGCAACCTAAGAAACTCAGCCCAATGCTGCGGCCTTCCCAGAGGAGCCTGTCGGCAGCATCGGCACCATGTTCTAGCGTGAGAGGGCACTCTTAGCACAGAGCTTCTACATTTAAAAGAAACCAATCCCGATCAGCAACCTAGAAATATTATAAAACCAGAACGAGCATTCCCGCTGTGCCTGGTGCTCCCCAGCCGGGGCTCTGCGTTCATTTAAGGAATTTCACTTCATTTGGGCAATGACCACCAACGGGTTCGTTTCCTGATTTGTTTTTTTAGAAACTTTCTCTTTCCAATTCCCATTGACCACCACAACAGGATCATAGTCATCTTCCAGACAAACTGTCCTACTCCTTCTCCCCTGCTTATTTCAAACAAGCCCTAAAAATGGTACTTTAAACACACCCCAAAGCCTACATAGATCTGCCCAGATCTCTTCAGTCTCATAATAAAATCCATCCTTTTCCTTTCTGCAACAGACAGCAGTCTTTTGGAAAGGGAATTTGGATTTCACTATCGGTTTTCTTGCCATTTGGTTTGCTTTATAAACCACAACTTCCTAGGACATCATTCTGAGGTCAGCTGGAAAGAGCCCGAGATAAATCTTCAGAGTTGTTATCTGCAGTGGAGTCAGCTGAAATTTCACACCTCTCTCAAGGCTTGATTACTCGCATGGAGCAGTCATTACTCTACAAATAGTCCTTTTGAAATCAATGGGCGGCCCTGCTCTGATTAAGCCACTACTCTGCTGGCTGACTTTGAGCCGGGATGCATGCAGAGGAAAGTACTGCCGGGTCACGAAACCAGTATTTGTGTACAAGTTACTTTTGTAATGAAGGAAGTTATAAACACAGAAAAAATAATGCCCTTGGCAATGGGCCGTGGGCCAGGTTCTCCGTGCTGGGATCCTTCCTGTTCTCTACATGAAAGGGCCAGATACTGACTTCTCTTTGTAGCTACTAGACACAGTTAAAACAAGACTTTGGGGATTTACTTACCCACTGTTTACGAGCATGATTTCTCCTCTTAAAGTACAAAATTAACTTCTTCCGCATTGCCTGGTTTCTAAAACAGAGAAAAAGATCGAGTGAAATACAACAGTCTCAGCAAAAGTCCTGTTCACTGCTTCTGCTGTCAGCACCAGCCAGTTGCAAGGGCAGTTTCTACTTTCATCTTTGAATTTGATCAGAGTCGTGGAAAGAAAGAGCGTTGCTGCACGGACGCTATTATAGCTTTGGAGCAAACCTGATTGCAGTAAAAGAGGGCTCTGCTTTGCAGACCCAAATGTTTCTTTAACAAGCCCGCTGGCAAGCACTCTTTGTGCCTTCACACGTGTGTCATCACGCCCCCTGCCCTCGCAAATAGTTGCACGTGTGCAACATTAGTCAGATGGAGAACTATTTGCAGAAGCAGGGTCACCGATGGCAGCTAGCACCAGGAATACCCAAAATAACATTGCTGTTCGGTACAATCCTGCACACAGCAAGTAGCCCCACAGACACCAACTGGATGACATCGGGCCGGCAGGACCAACCACAATCATAGAAGCTTGGAAGTTCAGGCCCTGCAGATCAAAGGCCACAAGACAGTAATACTGCATGGGCACCCCTGGTGTTTTTCATCTCTCCTCTCCCATCTTACATACAGCATAAAACGGCTGGTGGTGCTCTCAATAACCCTGCGGCATGCATCCAATTACCTTCAGTTTACTATTGGGAAAGGAGGCACAGAGAGGGGGGAGACGGGGGAAGAAATGCAGGAGCCCTCTAGGTGAGCTCTGGCTACAGTTCCAGGGCACATGGATGCTTCTGCCCAAAAGGATCAGAAACAGAAACAATGCCAATGCTTCATTTGCCCACGTTAGGCTTCAGAGTCAACACCACTTGGACTGAACCAGACTGTTTATACCTCTCCAAAGTCCCAGTCCAGAAAGGTATGTAAGCACGTGCCTACCTCTATTTGTGTAATAGCCCACGGATTTCCATGGCTCAGCTTAGGCACATATGTAAGCAGCTGGCTGACTCTACCTGCGAGCCTGGGGTACCATTTGCCTAAGAATGAGGTACAGCGCTGCCTCTTTCTGCTATTACACATGCCAGAAACTTGACTGCCTTCTCCTGAGTCTGTGGACGGCGATGGCACCCATTAGCTGGATTAGCTCAGTGATCCCTTTACTCCTATGGGCTCTTTGCCGGACCATGCTGCAGTAACAGCTACAACGTGGGGGCTAGTAAGTACCATTTCTTTAAAACAAAGGCAGAAGAAAGCTGTCATCCTTAATAAAACGGCAGGGAGGGAGGGGTATTCAGCCTTGTGTTTGCTTTCTGGAGAAGACAGTGTATTAATCCCTCCCCGCATCACCCCACAAAATCCAAAGAATCTCAATCCTAACATCTCCAATCCTCAGGGTTTGCTTGGTGGCTTCCCAGTTCTTCTTCCTGCTCTCTACACTTTCTCCCTGATTTGCAACCTTCCTGGGGCAGGCACTGTGTTTCAGCACGGGTGCAAAGCACTCGGCATGCATGGCAGGGGCGCAGATAACAATATAGCGCAGGGCCAGAACCTCTGCTCTTGCTCCCGAGAGAACACGATCACACCACGCTCAATGGACTCGATCTGACAAATGGACACATCTGGTTCGATGCTCAGTCCCAGTAACACAGCAGCGACTGGACAGCACTCTGTTCCACCTCTCCCCCAGTTTGTCACCGGAGGCAGTGGGTGAACGCCGCATCCCTGAGCACTGGCTGCACTGCGCTACATCTTCATTCCCTTTGACTTTGCCTTGAATGCTCTGATGTAAAAATAGAACTTGATTTCCAAGGTAGTGCTTGCCAGTGGCATCTGCAACCTCCTCATTCAAATGGGAAATAGCAGCAAACTGCTGGAAATGGATCCAAACGTCCCCAGCTCAAGCTGTCAGGCGGTAAACTAGCGCAGCCCGAAACCTGTGTAGGGGCAGCGATAGCACCGACTGAATTCACGGTGATGGCAAATACCCTTGCAGGGCCTGCTGCATCCTTGCAGAGCACAACCGCATGGATCCAGAAGGCGTTTTTCTGAATGGGGGCTTGAATATCAAGCCCCGTCCTTTGATTCTCTCTTGTAAATCAAAGTGCTGATGATCCCAGGAGCAGGGGCAAAAAAAATCTCCCCGCAGAAAGGCGTTATTGGCTTTGGTTCTTTTTGCCTGGTGGGTTGACAAAAGACCTGCTGTTTGGCGAGCGGTCAGAGCCCAGCTCACCAAAAGTTTTGAGCGAACATCACCAACTCCTTGCCCCGGGAGGACACGAGCCGGCTGCAAGCCAGCTGAACTTCTGAAACACGTCCTGCTGCTCTCCCTTTGTTTTGCAGGTGCTTGTGCAAATGTGTCTTTCCACCTGTCCGGGAGGCAGTGCCATTTCTCCCTGTCAAAGACCGGTACAGAGGTTCCTAGGTGTGCTAGTCTGAAGCCAGGTGGAAGGGGAACAGAGTCGCTCCCTTTCTCCCTCTTAGATGGCAAAACTAAAACGCAGAAGGAAGTGACTTTTGGCCCAATGTCTTGGAGTGAGTCAGTAACTAAGCCAGAAACAGGGACTAGGACTTACTGGACACTTGACTTTACTCCTTTTGCAAAAGAAGCTGGAGACGTGATAGGTGATGGCTACGTGCAGCCAAGCCACAACATGGTTTTAAGGCTCCCCATGACATGGACCCTTCCAGAGAGGGAACATTTCTTCTTCTCCACCACATCCGCTCTCTCTCTGCTGCTCAGAGCGAGCATCCCTGAGCTCCGCTCACCCCCGCGCCCCGTGGACTTCGTCCTCGCTGTGGCAGCGCAACGTCAGGTCATGGTGCACAGCCATTCTGCGTCTGCATCGGGTTCGTTCCAACTGGCTTGGAGACGCAGCAAAACCCAAGACATGCGGTTCCCCACCCCAGTTCCTTCCTTTCCAGTCAAAACCACTTTTTCCAAGCCCGTCGCAGCCTCGCTAATCCTCGCTGCTCTTCTCACGGTGCTCACAACATCACAGAGCTCCAGGTCCCAGAGTCACGGGATGGGAAAACCTCGGCTTTGCTTTTAAGGGAAGCACTGACCCCTTGCGATGTTGCAGAGGCAGCTCAGAAGCATAAACCCTACCAGCTCCGGGATCGGAAGGCAAATAAATAAATGAGATAACCCCGATCCGTTTGATCCCACTGGGAAACTCCACATTTTCAAGGCCGGCCTTGTGACTGCAGAATGCCAGACCCATGACCTGCGGGTGCTTGCGCCTGGTGACGCGGTCACGTTGCTGCCAAGATGGGAGACGGCACCAAGGCTGCAGCTCCGAGCGAAGGCAGAAGTGAAAATGAAACCCACTGGAAACGAACTGACCAGCCCTATTTTGCAGGGCAAGGATTTCCTAGGCTGATACCTTTTATTGGAGCATCGGCATAGCTGGCGGATAGCTAGACCAACTTGTGAGCGCAGGCTTCACCCTGTTTTCTTCCTCCAGCCAGCATAAGCAATGGGAAAGAAAAATAAAGCATCCCCCCTGCCCCAACTCCCTGCTGGTGCGAACACATTAAATCTGCAGAGCGTGAAACCAGAGTAACCCAGCGGGTGAAAGGGGCTGGGGACTGCTAGCTGCATTTCAGCGTTAACCATCCAAGGGCCCCGGTGACGAGGATGGAGAGGGGAGTCACAGCTGCATCCCTCTAGGATCCAGCCCGCTGGTGTCAACAGATAGGGCCTGGCGCGGGAATGCATCTCAACAGGGCAGGGATGCTTTAAGCTCTCCGGTCCCCTCCCTGCCCTTTCTGGGGTTCACTCAAAAGCTGCAGGAGTGGCTCTCTGCTATTTATACACCCAGCAACAAGGGAGCTGCAGCCTGCAGACAGCTTCAAAAGCAAAGGGGAGGGGAAGGGGGGGGGTGGCCTCGTTAACAGTTTTGCCCTTGACTTCTGGAACAGGCAGCGCAGCTCATCGATACTGCCCTTGCAGGAGGCTGCTCCCAGAGCCCGGGGATGCAGGGGTCTTGACATTGCTGCTGCTGGACCTGCCTTGAAACCGGTCAGGAGACAGGGCAGCAAAGGAGCGGCGTGCCCGGCCTTGGGAACACTAGTGTCAGCCAAAGGCGTTGTGGCTTTGCCGCCGCGAAGCCTGGAAGTGGCTGGAAAGCCGACGTCTGTGTTACCCCTGCCACCGAGACTGAAATAATCAGCTAACAGAATGGTTTCGGGGTCCCCCCCCAAACGAGCGCTGAATGTTTCAGCTCCTTTCTCTTCCCTGCGCGGGGCCGAGCCTTCAAAGGTTAATATTGTTTCAGTAAATATAAATATGCTTCACAGTTTATCTCCCTCCACGTACTGCTGTTACTTGGAAACCGTTTGTAGGGAGGTTAATTCAGGCCACACGTCTCCGAAGCACATGCTCTGCTCCCAGGGCAAATCAAACAGTGCAGCAAAATCCCCGCAGCACAACCAGCCAAGGTGAAGCCTGTCCTCTGCTACGGCAGGAGCGGCGCGCAGGCACACGGCGCTTTAGAAAGGTCAGCGGTGCAATACACCGCCTCCTCTCCTCCCACCCCGCACCAGAAACCCTGGCGGTTCCCTGCGGTTCAGGGCGACGGCAGCGAGCAAAGCGTGGTCTCCGAGCTCCGTCTCCAGGCACCGGGGTCTGGAAGACGTGGAGAAATCAAGTGAAAGGGGAAAAAAAAATCAAGCCAGAAGGGGATGCAGAGAGTCCCTGCTAGCTTTGGTCAGTTCAAAACCTCGGATGCAGCCGTAGCCTCAGCTGCAAAAGGTCATCTACAGCCATATGGGAACATCTGATGAGAAGGAGCCTCTGGGCTATCGAGTCCAATCCCCATGCAGAGAGGTTGGCTGGCAGAGTCTGGTCAGGATGCCCAGGTGCCTTTAAAACTGGCTGACTGTGAATACGGGTAGCGGGGTACTCCATCTCCAGCATCTCTGCCTCCGAGCCAGGCCGACGTGCAATCAGCAGCCATATGCTCAGCCTCCGAGGCAAAGGCTACCCCATATGGAGACCCTAAAAACACAGCTCCGGGCCACCCTCCGGTTTCCGACGGGGAGGGACAGCC